CTTATTATCATCTTCATCATCATTATCCTCTTCACCAGACATCATCATCCATCACCATCGCCATCATCATCGTCATCATCATTCCCAATAGTTTTCATCATTATGACCATTATTATTATCATCATCCTCTTCATCAGACATCATCATCAATACCACCACCACTAAACAATCCTAATTTATCTCCATAATAATTGTTGACTGCGCAGTAACCTAGGCAATTAGAATTACATTTTGCAACACAATATTTTCTGATTCGAAATCTGTCAATACCGATATTCGTTTGTGTCCTCTTTACTTAAAAATAATGTCGTTCTTCAGATTGGACGCAAGCCATTTCTCTCTTCAACTCACATTTCCTATTGTGTCCGTTTAGATTTTGTAGGCCTACATTGTGAGGCGTTTTGTTAGTGGTGAATACCGCTTTATGTAAGGAAATTTGTTATTAGAACCCATGTTTAATATAAATTAAATCAAATTATCTTTATGAAGTTCAGGGGCGGATCCAGAATTTGTTTTTAAACGGGGATGGTGGTGGGGGGGGGGACAACATTTTCAGAATTTTCAGAATAAATAACTGAGTAGCGCTTATTTTAATAAATAACATTGATATAATGCATTGAATTTTTAAAATTTTAGTGGGCATAGGAGGCAGATTGCTCATGCCCTCTACTATATCCGCGCCTGTCATCAGCTAATAAAGTTGATGATGATAATGATTGGTGATAACAATGGTGATGAAGATGCTACTACTAAACAAGGTTAATCATGGTTATAGTTTTCCAATCATCAAAGCATAAAATGTCATCATCCTTATAACCATTACAACCATCATCATCATTATCATCACCATGTTTATAGTTCGTAGTCCACAGTTTCAATTTCAATTCCATCCAATATTTATTTGCTAATCCTGCGTCAAGATTACAAACACGAAATATAGATTCTGTTTAGATGGAAATTATTGTGGCCAATGTTTGACAAGTAAATTTGATGCGAATTATTTTCCAAGCGGCAGGTGTGTGATTACTGTTTATCGGTTAATGATGCGGGTCCTGTGTTATCTGTATATGAATGTTTACACTGAATTAGGCTATGTGTTGTTAATGTCTAAGCAATATTTTAATGTAGGCTCACATTATTTCTTACATATCGATATTATGGGGAGATGTGTAGAAGCATATTACATTTCTAATCAGAGGTGACGCGAGGATTTTCCCGACAGAGGTGGGGGAGAGAAGTTTCTCGATGGGGGGAGGGGAGGTCCGATGTCCCCGATGAGAGCAAGTGGTGGGCGTCACTCAAAATCTTTCGAAAGTGGACCAGGGCGCAAAGCCCCCCGAAAAATATGACAATTTAGGGCTTTCAAAGGTTTTTAATCGATTTAGAGTCTAATATTTAGAAAATACATAGGCCTATATATTTTTCTCCCCGACGAATTGTGGTTTTTCTTCTCGACAGCTCTCCACGACGGGGGCCCTGACCCCGGCCCACACTGGCGCCACCCCTGTGTCTAATTATTATTTCGTATACATTATATAATATACCGTAGGCCTAGATTATTTGTATAATGTAAGATACCGTAGATAAATTGCAGTCATACCCCCGAACCGCCATAGAAGCAATCTGTTCTTGTAAGGTTTAAATTATCTTGCATATCTACATTATGGGGATATGTATAGAGGCATATTACACTCTGTAATTATTATTTTGTATACAGTATATATAATATAAGCCTAGATATATTATATGTATATGTATAAATAGTAACTTGTTATTATTGTTGATCACAGTCATAACTTCGAACCGCCCTCGAAGCAATCTGTTCATGTAAGGCACAAATATCTTGCATTTATGAGGATGTGATAGAGGCATATTACACTTTCTAATCCAACATGTCAATGACCGCCGAATGTCTGTAATTAGACGGCTACAACTGCCAGTAGGCCCATCAGTACCAGTAATTACTCTTTGTATACAGTATATAAAATATAGGCCTACGTATTATGTCTAGATTATATGTATAAATATAGCAAATTGTTACCATTATTAATCGCAGTCATACCCTCGTACAACAAAATGCGAATTTTCTCAGAAGAAAACTGAGTCGGGAAAATCATCATTTGAAAAACATTAATCCATATGGATGTTGAAATTGTGAGTCTCCCAGCCGTGTCATTGGCTATTGTATGGCCTACATTGTATGTCGTCATCACAATATCTATCGGAGTGGATTTGAATAGCTTGTTGGGTTAAGATGCTTGCCTTCCAATTCCAGAGTCTTGGGTTCAACTCCTGTCACGGTGACAGGATTTTCTCTCACAGTCAAACCACTCCCTAATTGTTTTTACAATGTAGGAAGTGTCGAGACCAACACATAGGCCTACCCGTATTCGCCTCGGTTCATAGTAACTTCCATTTTCGTTTAATAAATTATGGGTGAATATATAACCCACTATGCAACCATCGTGGCTTAATGGAAGATCCAAATCACTTCTTTAATGATTTTCCAAAGTATGCTGCTCAGAGATATATTCTACTCACTGACATCTGAGACCTTTCTTTTCAATTTATAAACAATATTAATTTAAATTTATCAGATTTGTCCTTTTTAACCACTATTTTAGTTAGAGGCAGTACAGACCTAAATGAAAAACAAAATCGTATGCTATTTAAAATTGTTCTAAAGTAAATTTTAAATACAAAATGTTTTTCTGTTTAATTCTTTTTTTTCTTTTTTACTTTAAAATTATTAAGTAAGGCACTCAGTTGTCACTTGTTTTTAAGGGCTTGTTCTTACTAAGGGACCACTGAATAATCTCTTGTTAATTAAACAAAACAAAAACAAATACAAAAAACTCTATGCAGAGCATCTTTGAGTATCTGAACAAGTTTGTTGTTTGACATACCATTGGCCATTTTAATTAAACGTGAATAAAACTTTACAATATTATATTATATTATTATTATTATTATTATTATTATTATTATTATTATTGTTTATTGTTTATAAAAGATATTGCAACATACAAAAAAAGTATAATTTTCATAGATCTAGTCTATGACACAAATTATAAATACGATAAAACATCACAAATGGATAAATAATAAAAAAAAAAAAAGCATTTGCAGAAAAAAAACCCACTGAAAAGCAAGCCACCTCCAAACCTGAATAAAAGAATCGGATATATTTGATACTTCACCCACTGAATGACGCAAACCATTCGTTAATAGGCCTATAACTGTATTTTGATATTAACATAGTGATACTTGTCGTATTAATAATACCATGAAATCATGAAAAGGCATATAAACTATAATTGACATATCATTACGTCATAAAGGCATATAATCTATAATTGACATATCATTACGTCATGCCTCGAATATTGATACACCTCTTTAATTTGCAGAAAAAATCCCACTAAAAAGCAAACGACCTTCAAACCTGAATAAAAGAATTGAATATATTGTATTGGCACACCCACTGGATGACGTAAACCAATAATTGTTAATAGGCCTACAACTGTATTTTTATATTAACATAATGATAATTGTCTATACGCATATACACATAGACGTAATAATAATAATATATATGACGTCATAAATGGCATATAATCTATAATTGACATATCATACGTCATGCCCGGAATATTGATGCACTTTTTAAATTGGCTAGGTGAAAATTTAACACGACTATAAATAATAAAAGATAATCAACAGCCACAAATAAGCGACTACACGAACATTCAGTCAATGTTTATTATTGTATTGGTATATGTGTATTCGATTAATGTTAGTAAAAGTTAAATTATTACATTTATGTGTTATCGTACGGAATACTCAGTACGTTCCCAAATACTTGCGAAAACAAATCGCAAGTGATTCGGGTGGGAATCGAACTCAGATAACTAGTCTGGTGTCATAGCCACCGATCATGTGCGCTTAATGACTAGTGTTGAATCCGATCCCCACAGCAATGCTGATTGAAATAATAGAATATAGATATACAAGATAGACCTACATTTTTTTTTTATATCTTTGCTTTATCCAGCCAAACCTTTTTATGTGTCTCCTGAAATCTGTTTTCTTAAGTCTTCTCCAGTCTCATGTCAAAGCGGGCATTCATCAGTAGTAGACACGTACTCGACCTTGTTTTTTTTTTTCTAGATGAAATTGGTTCCGAATGAATTTCAGTACGATTTACATTACTCTAACGCTAAATTAATGATGTTATCAAAATGCTACTAACATGTGCACGTGACTATAGATAGAACTAATGTTTAATAGGTGGAATGTCCCTTGAGTACCGTAAAACCTCGAATTGAAGCGCGTACTTTGGATGGGCTTCTTTTCGAGCGGGCTTCTTTTCGAGCGGGTTTCTTTTCGAGCGGGTCTACCCCTTAGCCACAGGTGGGCATGCGGCCCGACAGTCGGATTTGTTTGCGGCCCGCGACAATGAATTAAAAACCATATGTGTGCGGCCCGCCAAGCAAAATTGGCTAGAAAACACCTTGTTTTTACGGCCCGACACCCGACAAAAGTAACATTAAAACTGTGATTATTTAGTGGTGTAATAGCAATGCTTGGAGGTTTTTGGAAGCTCACTGGAAATATCAAAGTTTGGGTGCGCCGCCCGCGGTGTTAGATCAAAAATTCACTTTCCGAGCCCTTCGACCGATATTTATACCCATCCCTGCCTTAAGCGAAATAAAAAAAGTTATGTGGTGAAATTATACAATATATCAAAAACTCCTCTCTTAAAAAAATCCAATTATATATTGTATTCAAATTGATGCAGGTTTCGTTGGTTTATGATAATTAAATACTGTATAGTTTAATTGACTAATAAGCGTATTTTCATAACAAATGAAAAACGTTAACAGAGAATGGTATACAGTACCCGTGGTGTTTTTATCTTGTATAGTACTATACTTTTTAAAGTACTGCACGCTTTAAAAGTGTTTTGAGCCTCCTTTTCTGTCTTTTTATTAGCGATGTAAACAGAGGGTGTGCACATGTTTTTGTTATTGTAGTTTGTAGCTAACAAGTTTTGAAACGGCTTATGGACTTATATAAAAGGTATAAATAGCTTTGGTAGGTATGAAGTGTGAAGAGAAATGATTCTGGTAGAGAAGGTATTTGGGAGGCACTGAGGGGCTACACCTAGGTAATCTGTGTGGGTTATTTCATGATTTACTCTCTAGGCCTAGGCCCTAGGCTCCTGAATTTTCCCTTTTTGGGTTTAGGCCTTGGTCTAGTTAGGCCTGGCTGCGGCCCAAGGCCTAGGCCTACTTTTGGCAGCCTAGGCGTAGGACCTAAGGCCATGCAGTCACAAGCTCTGTGAGCCTAGGTCCAGAAAAAATCCAAATAGTTAACACATAACTGGTAAATTATACAATGCGGCGCTAATGCACTTTAGTTCTCAACCCTAACCTTTTACTTTAGTAACGTAAGCATTAAGTAATTAGATAGCAAGACTAGCCTAGTACCAGACTGTATAGTACTGTACATATAGGTCTGCGGTCTATATATCCTTTGCACAAAAATTTGGCCTAGAAGTCTGTCCACGCATTTCGGAAAATAACGGCCGATTTCTGCGCAGATTTTGCCAAATTTTGATGAAATCTCCTGTATATAACCAATGCAATTATGCAGCAATTGCGATTCCACGCACCAATTTTTTTCGCGATTATCCTCGCAAATTTGAACTGATTTTTTAAATATTCTGCATAATTAAAAAAAAAATTACAGTATAGGGCTAGTAGAGATATGATTAGTTAGGGTGGAGGACTAAAAGTGCATTAGTGCCTCTGCAATGTTATCACATCCCCGTTTAAAAGTAATTTAATTGCACTGATGATACATAAAAAATTCTTGCTCAAATTTGCTGGAAAATCGCCATGAAAATAGGTACTGCATAATACATTGTATTAGGGCTGTTTTCTACTAGTGTGAATTTATTCCTGTGAATTACAAACATTGGCTCATGTGCATTCGCAATCACATTTCTATTGGAATTTTTCATGTGAATGAAATCAGTAGTGCGAACTGTTTCAACTTTTTGCAAAGCGAAAAAACGTGCAACCAATCAGAGCTCAGGAAGAGAACCAACGCTTTTGATTTGCGCGACTTAATTCATCTAGTGGAAAACAGCCTTTTAAAGATTGACCAAGCTATAATTTTCCAGCAAAATCCGTGAGGAAATTGGCCCTGATTTACCAGAATGTACAGACAGATTTCTAGGTCAGGTATTTGCGTGGATGATATATTCCCCATGCAGGCCTTATTTTACAGGCTGCTATCACTAGGAAAACATATTACTTAATGCATAAAAAAAACGGATTAGGGTTAAACCTAGGTTAATGATTTACTATTTTGTTAATTGTTAATATTAATTATTATCACAAAAATTAATTTTTAAGGCATAAATGCTGTGGCCTTGTAGCTCTTAATCTGTGTAAATAATTTACAATGTATTAGGTATATGATTGATAAGGTAAGGCTTGGACACTGACCCTTACCGAGATAAGCCCCTCTTCCACCTACAGTATGTTGCTTTCATCCAAGTGTAGCACAAGTTTTACGAGTTAAAAACTCGTAAAACTCATGATTTAGTTTGCTTGGGAAAGGACCTCTATACGAGCGTACTACGTGTTAGCTACGAGTAAGGTACGACCGTACGGAGTTCACTACAAGCTTTACAAGATTATTACGAGAGTAACAAGTTTGTATCGTATTACATACGAGTTAGGTACGAGCGTTCCGACCAAATGTTCCTGGTGATTGTAACTGACTCGGTGCGCTTTTACTTCACTCGTATTCATTTCGAGGTGCTCGCATCAAACTCATGGATTACAAAACTGCCAATGAGTATCCCGAATAGTGTACAAGTTTAGGAGTACCCCGAGTACACTATGAGTTACCTACGAGTTTACTGCGAGTTGTCAACTCGTAGCACTATTTTTCAACATGTTCAAAATTAGCGCCACGAGTTCAGGGCTGCTACAAGTAGGTACAAGTTCTCCCCAAGCTTCCCAAATTGTCCTAAGAGTTTTTGCTGTGTTTGCCGAGTTAACTTGGCAAACACTTCTAACTTGTATGCACGAAAAATCCCTAGTGGGAGAGGGGCAATAACGTATGGTACTGTATTTCACTGCTAATAATTTATATACAATAGGCCTACCTACTACAGTAGGTGTAATTTTTTGTACAATAGGCCCTACAAAAAATAGCATGAATATTATCTTGGCTCTTTGACTTAATAGATTTTATGAAAGGAACACTTTCATGAATAATAAGTTATTGTTTTGTAAGAAAAGTGTTACTGTTTTGGTTTGTTGTTGTGGTGATTGCCATTTTGTCATATTTAACCAATTTTAGAGTATTTAAACGAATATAAGAATGAGGAAATACATTATTCTAATGTCAAATTGAAGGATATTTATTTATACACAAATTAAGCAATTAAAATTTTGATATTTGAAATGCATAGCTTGTCGATACTGAATTTGTAGAGGTTGTTGAATCCTTTGCCTCAAGGTTGAGTGTCCGAGCTGTAACTGCCGTTCCAACTGCTCGCAATTGTTGCAAAGGTGAAAGGAAATTTTTATTGATTTGATCACATATTGCTGATGGTTACTGGTACACTATGGTATTTTTCAGCTTCAACCTGGACCACATTTTAAACCTGACAAGTTTCCAAGCTATTGCACTTTCAGGTCCAGAAGCAGGTTGGCTAACGCCCATATTCTTAAAAAACAAACTTTAGTCGAACTTCGAACTAGAACTTCATTTTAGTGCTAGTTTCAACTTCAACCTCAATTTGTATTCATAACATAGTCAAAGTTTTAACTACGACTAAATAAAGTCCAATTTTAGTTCAACTGAAGACGACTGGCAAGCAACAACTATCAAACTAACTAATGAAAAGAGCTAATTTTAATAGCAGACGAAATTTTAGAGATCCGGTAATGCGGATGAATATTAAGCTGCCGTCTGTGGTTCAAAAACGTATACCCTCATAATTCATAATAGATCATCATTCGCTTAATTAATTTTCTATAATAATAACTATATTAGTTGTTAACATATTACGATAGAGAATTTGAACAGTCACTGAAACCACTGTTGTGGCGAAGCTACGTGACTGCAGCGCGAGGGGATTTCGTGCAAATCAGGAACTATCTCATGTGGCTGGAAGAAACATGTTAATTTCTCCTTTTAGAAGCTGAACTTGATGTCTCTTTTGTTTTAACACACCGAAGATATATCAAACCTGCGTATACAATTGTTTTTCTTCGTTTCACTTTATCGTGAGTAACAAAAAACATGTTTTAGTGGGGTAAATAAGTCGGCAATTTAGCCTGACTTTAAGCTGACTAAAAAAATCGGCCTGTGGAGGTGTCATTTTAGTCGAGGTTCGCGTCATTTAGTCGCAGTGCTAGTCGAAGTTCGTTTTCAGAATACGAAATGACGTAATTTTTAAGTTTTAGCACAAACTACGACTAAAGTTCGTTTTAAGAATACCGGGGTAAGAGTTTCAGACCTGGTCAGCATCTGGTTTTAGTTGGAGTCACTTGGCTCCTCAAATAACCCTCATATTGAGAGTTAGATGGATTAAGGACAATGTTCGTATCTACCTGCATCTGTTATAAATTATGTTGTAGTTAAGTCGGGTGGTGCTACACCATCCAGCCCAAATTTCCGATTTTCAATTGAATGAGGACCAATAAACAATTATTAGGATAGATGACACTTTCTTTCTGCTTGATGTAAGCCCCTGTACACTGATAAGCACAAACTTTGCTAATGATGCCCCTAAGCCTTTTGTTTATTCAGCTTCAAATTAGAAATTATGAGACAGTAATTTTTTTGAATTTTTTATTGGTTTCATCCATTATGCCTGATTATTCAGATAATGAAACCCTCAGGTTAATGAAGAGATTATTGCAACACTGACAATACAGTATGACCAAAAATCCATCCATATATTCATCATGAAAATACAGTATTGTAGAACACATATTCAGTCTTTTCTTTAAAGACAGTTATTTATTTTTATAAACTTTGTCGAGGAGAAGAAAAAAAAACCATTTATTTTTTCACATATTAGTCTAATATTAGTAGACTCTAAAATCAATTAAAGAATCATTTGAAACACATAAATTGTCATAGTTTCTAGGTGTGTGGCCCCCAACCCCCGGATCTTTCCCAAGAGTTTTTACCACTTATTTTTAATGGATTCAAATGTATGAATTTTGCAAGTACGTTTAGATTAAGATAAATGTACTTTTGCTAGGAGGTCATTATCATCATCCATTTTATTATCGCAGCATCATTAATCTTTTCAACACAATGCTTTAAAAAAACAATCATCAATTTGATAATAGACGGATGGTCATTGTACAGAATAGTGACACTAGCCTATTATTCAGTAGCAATGTTAAGGACTCACTGCTATTTAGTGTTTCAATTCTAAACATCAAAACGGATAAAAAATCTCTTATTGTATGAAGTCCTTATGTTTATTCTTTGAAATATTTCCAATAACAATTTTAAATTGCCCTTTTCTTCGATGGATTTTTCTTCATTTGTTAACTATCATCAATATATATTAATTGATAGAACTATTATTTTTGATGAAATGTTTAAGATTTATATGCTTTTATTGCTTTTCACTTGAACACAATGGCAATGAGTTGCACTAAAAATCAATGGTTGCGAGAGTCTCTTTAGATTTTCCAAGAACGGCTCACATTTGCGTTTAGTTTAATGGTTCTCTTCATGGCTAACATTAGGTCAAAAAAACTATTTGTTTCATTGCCCAACCACAGAGACATTCGAAAATCAGGATCAGTGTGTCCTTGATTGATTAGTTTTTTATTATATACCGCATATATAGATTCAAAGTATCTGATTGATTAAAAGCCATAATAACTTCAATTATCACTCCTATGATGTAGTTTGAATGATAGTTTAAAAATTCCCGGGGAAAAAAGTACTATCACGTTTAAATAATAGTACTTTTTTGCCCTGTCGCGATGTATTCACACCCCACTTACAACGTTGCTGTGTAGTTTATAACGTGCAGGGACATAAGAGGGGACTGCTACTTCTACAACTATAGATTGGCCCTTTGACCACCTCTAGGCCTAGGTACAATAGGTACTCTTTCCATGATCTTTTTATATACTAGGTCTTGTAGAAACTATGTATAATGTATAAAATACAGTAAAACAAATATTGACTTTACCATTCCCCTCATGAGCAGTCAATATTTATACTATCGAACTAAAACTAAATTCAAATATTCGTTGGTCAACTATCAATCGCCCCACCCCCTTTCCCCCAATCATTTTATTGGCTGTAGGAAACCCGAGAATGGTTTACTATTGCATATCATTTGATACTGAACAATACTCCGTGTATGGGTGATTCCATTATTTTCTTTTATGCTCGAGGGTAAGATCAAGAAGGGGGGTTGGGGGAAATAGAATTTTCAAGAACTTGAGCTACTGTATATCCACTTGAACATAATGGTATTGAATTACACTAAGGGTTAGTGATGGGGTCTCTGGAGATGGATTTCTGAGAATTGTTCATTGTTGCATACTGTTTAACGGATTCTCTCTGTGAGTGCTCTATCATTATCGCATCATTATTGGAACTATGTATCAATCTGTTATC